TCATCATCAAGTAGTGAAAAGATCATTAAATGATTCTGTGATGATTTCAAATGTTGTTGCTGCTGGAACAGGTATTCAAGGATCAGGCTCGAATGAACTCGATGGTCCTAAGGGAATCTTTGTCGATATGAATTTGGATTTATATGTAGCAGATTGTTTAAATGATCGAGTTCAGTTGTTCCAGTTAGGAGAATCAAATGGCATCACAGTGGCTAGCAGTGCATCAATAAATCCACCACTTGATTGTCCAGCTGGAATTATATTAGATGCCGAGAAATATTTATTCATTGTGGATCAAGGCAATAATCGCATTGTTGGTTCAGGCTTGAATGGTTTTCGATGTTTAGTTGGATGTTATGACAAGACTTCACAATCCAGTCAATTGAATAATCCATTTAGTTTTAGTTTCGATCGTTATAGAAACATATTTGTTGCTGATCAATCAAATCATCGAATTCAAAAATTTCAATATTTGGAAGAATCATGTGGTAAGTTTAGAATAATCGAGTAAAGTTTCTAATATCATTTCAATTAATATTTATTCAGAGAAATAGTTTATTTTATTACTATACTTAGTGATATTGATAAAAAAAAACTAATGTCCTGGATTATATTTATATAACAAGAAAAATTCTAAGATAAAGATGATAATGAAGAAGTCATAAATTTGTAAGGCTATGACTTACCAGACTTTCTTAGTCCGGAATAATACTCGTTTTTGTATACGAGATTTTCTAACATTTTTATATTGTAAATATTACAACGTCTCTTGAAAAGAACTTGCGGATTTTAAGGGCTAACATTGATATTTACTGTAAAGACGCAATATAGATATTTTATCTCATGTTTTTCTTCATTTCTCTATTAAAAGCATTACTCTGAAACAAACGGTTCAACTCTTTTTAGTAAACAGAATGAAAAGCAAACTAAGAATATCAATCATTTCTTTTCTTTATTCTAAATACAAATACTCATTGATTTTTTTTCATCCAGTAGGTAATTCATTAGCTATAGAAACAACGTATTTATCATCGTTAACACCAAACAGTTCAATTTATTTTCAAGATTGTTCAACATTAGATTCGTATTATGAAGCGATACAAGCGAACGTCACTGTAACTGGTTATTATACCTTTCTAATCAACAGCGAGATGAAAACCACGCATGCTTATATCTACACAAATGACTTCAATCCACTAAATGTGTCCAATAATGTGATGAGTCATAGTGGAGACTATGGAAATGGAAGTCAGTTTCAACTCAAAGCTTTTTTCCAAGTCAACATGAAATACATTTTCGTTACGACAACATCTTCTCGAAATATAACAGGAAATGTTTCAATTCAAGTATTCGGCCCAAGCTATATCGGTTTTAATCGTATTTGTGAGTATTTGTAGTATTTTAATGGATAATCAGTTGCACATATTCATAGTCGATAAAAAATATAGATAAACTCGATCTACAAAATGATATACAGATAAAGATATATCTGTTCGATAGATACCAAGATTTATATCACTTCCAATCACTTTCGGTAAATGTATTTGAGAGAGAGAGAGAGAGAAAGTAATATTTCAAATTGTTTACACTTATTTCCATATTATACAAAATTGAATCGATTTTCTTTTTCGTTAGTGAATACTTCATCAGTTGTTCAAACAACTTATACATCAGAACTGACAAGGAACAGTTCAAAGTATATGGTTAGTTGTTCGGTGGCAAGTTCTTATTATAAAGCGATACAAGTGAATGTTCATAAAAGTGGTTATTACACTTTCCTCAGCGAAAGCACTAAGGACACATACGGCGTTATTTACGAAGAATATTTTAATCCACCCAATCCAAATAAAAATCGACTCTTAGACGATGATGACAGTTGCAAACTACGTCAGTTTAGATTCACAATTGCTCTTGAAACCAGTATCACATATATATTGGTTGTGACAACGTGGTCTCCTGGTATAGAAGTTGCATTCTCAATCTTGGTATCGGGTCCAAATAATATTGATCTCAAGAGTATTAGTAAGTATTTGCACTACAACTATTAAATGAATATCTATCAACGTTAGCATGAGTATTTAGTTGAGTTTGGCATATCCACAACAAAAACTTGTTTTGTAAGATGACATTTGTA